TATATATATATATATGTATATATATATATATTTGTAAAGAGAGGTCGGCCAAAGAAGTTAACAATATTAATAACATTTAATTCTAGAGAAATTATAAACTCTTATAATAATTTATGACATCAAAATATTATTATTATTATAACATATAATGGTATAAAATTGTTTGTTATAAAACTTCAAACCTGCAAGTATTATGTCATTATTTTTTTTCATGAAAAAACTGATCATTAAAAGAGTAAAAAAAAATCACGGTTTTAATATGATTAATCATGAAATATGAAAATGGAATATTTTTGTTGTGTTAATGTGTTAAAATATCGTGATGTAACTTTTTAAGACCGGAAGTATTTAATATTTTATTAAATTTTATAAAATAATCATAAGTGTATTTGAAAAACATACAATCACAAAATTCTCTGGAATAACTTTTAAAATATTTAAGGAGTCACACTTGGGAGGAATATAATAAAACATGCGGAAATATTTTAACTAAAACATGACACTGATGAATAAAATGATATTTTAACCAAAATGTTACATGCAAAGAAAAATTATAAACAAAAGGTGACGAATACGAAAATAATATAATATAGCCAGTGGAAAATGTTAACTCATCTTTTTACTAGACTATAAATATAAATTACCAACACCAAAAAAAAGACTATAAATATGCACTCAGCAATTGGAACTCAAAGCACAGTAGAAAAATTCAGCTATATACTCATTTTCTCTCCCTCCCATAAAAAAATGGCAAGCAATGTAGTGTTTTCGAACATTGTGGTTGTGCTATGGCTATGCAGCATATTGGTCATGACACCAGCAGAATCACGTCGACGAGCATTGGAAGCACCACAAGAGTTGGCACAAAAATTTAGTAGAAACCCTGAAACGCTTTCGCTAGCGTCAACTGACTATGGGCACATAGTTTACAAAACCCCATGGGCAGTGTTTGAGCCAAGTTCCATTGTTGATATAGCGACCTTGATAAGCTTCTCAAACTCTCTTCCAATTCCTTTCACCATAGCCACAAGAGGCCGAGGCCACTCGGTTCTTGGACAAACCATGACACGAGATGGGGTGGTTCTCAATATGACACACCTCAACGATCACTTCACAGATATTAATAATGCTTCAGTCTCAGCATTTTCAATCACTTGTCTTCCATTGGGTTTTTGTTATGCTGATGCAGGTGGTGAGCAATTGTGGACTGATTTGCTGAGTGTAACCCTTAAACTTGGTCTCACACCCCACGCTTTGACTAACTACTTGTATTTGACCATTGGAGGCACCATCTCTAATGCTGGCATCAGTGGCCGCACATTTCGAGTTGGACCTCAGATCTCTAATGTTCTCGAATTGGACGTTATTACAGGTATATATATATATATGAATTAATTAACCATACCTAGGTCTTTCTATAAATTAAATTCAATATTTTCTAAAATATATATAGTTTCTAGCTAGCTGTTACTGTTCTACGTTACATGTCTGTTGTTATTGTTTTTCTTTTCCTAAATTGTAGTTTACTATGAACATGCAACATGCATGCTTGTTTGTTTTCCACGTATATATAAACTCTAATACATGTCTATATTTGTGGCTTAATTTTATAGGGAAAGGAGAATTTGTGACTTGCTCTCCTCTGATAAACTCAGAACTATTTTATGCTGTTCTTGGAGGATTAGGTCAATTTGGGGTTATAACAAGAGCGAGAATACCTCTAGGGCCTGCACCCAAGAGGGCGAGTATCATTTTTTTCTACCCCATTCATGAGAAAATCCCACTGTTTTTCACTTATTTATTTTATCTTGCAGTTGTTTTGGCTTCATTTGCTTTACACCAACTTCACCACATTTTCTAGAGACCAAGAGTATTTAATCTCGTTGAATGACACTATTGCACCAGATTTTGTAGATGGTCAAGTTCTATTGTCCAATCAAGACCAACCAGATCTTTCCTCTTATTCAACTTCAGATCAACCAAGGGTAACTTCCTTGATAAAACAATATGGCATTGTCTACGTCTTAGAGCTTGTCAAATATTATGACAACAACTCTCAATCACGAGTCGAACAGGTAACTTTGAAACAAATCCAAAGAGACCATACCATATGTCAATAACTCATTCTAATCAAATTATTATATTCTCGTTTTTCACATTAACTTTGTCATAAATCTTATTTATTACTAATTAAATTGATCATCTCTTCTTATTTCTTGAGCAGGAAGTTGAAAATTTGGTCAAAGGCTTAAATTTCTTACCTAAGTTTAGGTTCAAAAAAAATGCATCGTATGAGGAGTTTATAGACAGGGTTCATGCTGCTGAGCTTTACGCTCTCAGACCACGTGGACTTTGGGATGTTCCTCATCCTTGGCTGAACATGTTTGTTCCAAGTTCTCGAATCGTTGATTTTAATGAAGGTGTATTCAAGGGCATTATTTTAAAGCAAAATATTTCTCCTGGTACTTGTTTAGTCTACCCCATGAAACGAAACAAGTAAGTTTGTTGGATCATGTACTTCCTCAACATCTCCTTTTCAAGTACTTTTCTAATAAAAATAAAAGTGATATATCCCTAAAAGAGCATGAAAAATAGAGAAAAAAAATGTTATTATTTAACCACATATTACCTTTTTATTGAGAGAATTTGGGACATGCATGAAATGGGAACAATTTATTTCTGATTCAATTTATTTCCAAGCATATATGCATGGATTTTTTCATATGCGAGAATTAAAAAGAATCAACACGTTAATAATTCGCAGGTGGGATGGTAGGATGTCAGCAGTTATACCAGACGAAGATGTTTTCTACTCTGTAAATCTTTTTCATTATGTATCTGCGTCATATAACGTGAAGGATTATGAAGCTCAAAACCAAAAAATATTAGAGTTTTGTAAGGATGCTGGTATTAAGATTAAGGAATATCTTGCCGGAAACAAAACACATCAACAATGGGTGGAACACTTCGGTTCAAAATGGAAACTTTTTGAAGAAAGAAAACTTGAATTTGATCCCAAAAGAATACTGTCACCTGGACAAGGGATTTTTCAATAAACAGTGCAGTAGGTTTCAATTCACATTGTTTACATGTTTGTGGGTGATTTATTTATATTTTCAATTGATGAGCATGTTTAGAATTATTTAGAGCTTTGGAAATAATTTGATGTATGAGTGAAATATCTTATTTCAAAATTCGTGGAATAAAAAATTATATGACTATTAATTTCTTTTTTTCTTAATGTTTATTTTATATAGTTTTGGTATACCCTTGTACATTTTTATATATTCTTGTATAAAAAATAAATAAATAAAATAAAAAGTGGAAAGTTTGTTTAGGTGAGCAACTTAATAAAACTTTTGCATGATAAATTCTTATTATATAAGAATTTATGTTATATGTATTTAAAATTTAATAAGTTCTTTTAAAGTGTCGAAGAGTAATTAATGTGGTTGATGATAAATAATATTGTATTCTAAAATGATTCTTTTTGCTTAATTCGATGGATCTTGCTAACTTTGTTCATTGTAATTGTGTCTATCAAGAAGTCTTTTGGTGTATAATGTGACCAACGATTCTCCGTCTAAAGCATAAACACTTGCTATTATGTATAAATTGTCATAGGAAAATCCAATAACAGATGATGTTTAGTAAAAATTTACATCTTCATCTACACAAGGAGGAAAGTATCATTGTAATGACTAAACATGACTTAATTAAATAATATATATAATTAATTATAATATGTATTTGAGTTTGACGTGTATAATAAGAAAAGTAATTTAATAAAAAAAGTTGTGACACTTTTGTAAATAAAATCACATTTAAAATTAATTGTACTGGAACCAATTTTAAAAATATATACAAAAACGGTTATTAGAATAACTAATTTTGTAAGTAAGACTTACTAAATCGGTTATAAATAATTGATTTAGTAAATTACATACAAAATCAATTATTCTATAATCATTTTGTATAATTTAAAAAATTAATTTTATTTGAACTGAACTTAAATGTGCATTATATTTTTAAAACCAACCCTTTTCTCTCTTACTTGTTCTCTCGCTCCTTTTTTAGTATACACGAACAAATGAGGGCGATCCTCTTGTGATATGTTTTGTTACCCTGAAATGCAATAAAAGGGTGTCACACTACATGTTACTTCCTTTCTAGCTCGAATTTAATTATATAAAGATTTTAATAAAAATGTAATAAAAGTTATATAAAAGAAACTACTTAATTAATCATCATTTTATAATAAAAGGATTTACAATTCTTGAAATGAAACTCTTTAGAAAAAAAAAGTAATCAAATGATTGCATAAATTCAAAATAAGGCACAAACCATCTATTTATAAAACTTTTAACATAAAACATAAATAATCATATAAAAATTAACTTAAACTATAACTAAGAAATTGTAAACTCTCAACTCTTATGTCACCCTATCAAAGCAAATCCCAACATAATGAAGCTTTAAGTTTCATCCCCATCAAACTTGTTATTTTGTACCTAATTAAATGACGACCAGTTTAAACACAAACACAACATAATTAAATTTCATACATACATCATACACAAATCTCATCCATATAAAATATATATATATATATAAAGCATAAGGATAACTAAAAATACATACATCATAATTAAATTTCATACATTTATCCTCATCTCCACATCCAAGACAACATTCCTCTTGGTCACACCACCCAAAATACATTCATTCATCATAAATAACCAACAATCATATAATTTAATCATTCATAATTATAAATATAAGAATTTGCACAGATGCATGCACTTAATTCTACATGCATATGGTACCAAATCTCTTCATCATCATTAATGCAGAATAGCCTAATAAGAGTTATGAAACGAGACCACATCATTAATAGTGTAGGGACTATCTATCAATAGTGATCTCCTCAATTACCCTCAACCAAAAGATGTTTATAAGGGTCTTATCAAAGTGTTAGAATTAGTCATGGTAGCCTTTCATCCCCATTAGAGGTTTTCTTATTACCATAACACCCCTAGAACATAGGTAAATGACCTATGATATTCCACTTACATAGTCCCGCACTATCCTGCAAAGAAAATATGAATGGATGAGCTCAATAATCACATTTTAATTATATAATATGCAATAATCAACTTCCTTTTTTGTTATTTCACAACACTAGACTTAACTTTCATGTCTCATTACATTACTCATAATAACTCAATACATCATGCATCTATATCATTCCTCATATAATAATACTCATAAATACTTAACATTCATACTCACAAGGATACATTAATACCATCTAATATATGAAACGTCTAAAATATAAAACTTATTAACCCTAATTTTACTTATTTATATTTTGTTTTGGATTAAAACACAAGTAAGTAAAAGAAAGCTATTAAACTCACATCCACTTATCTTAAAATATTTGTTAAAAATATATACAGAAATCCAAACTACTCAAATTTTACATTATTATTTTTAATATTCACCTACATCTCATTTTATTATTATAAGAGTACATACCTTACTAGTAACGTTTTATATTTGCGTCATAACCAAAAGAAATATTTACAATAATGTACATTGCTATAATCTATCTATTACCTATACCATATATACTATATCTACATATCGGGCTGATATAAGTTTACTATAGGGTTGACATGATTGGCTGGAGGAAGATAAAAAGTAACTACTAGCTGGCCATCTATAACTACGGGATGTTGCTGCGTTGGTGAAAAATAAAAAGATGACAATCCTATTCCTTGAAATGTCACCGCGTTGGCAGCTGCGTCCATAGCCCAACTAGTGCCTGGAAAGACTGCAGTGATAACGGTAGAAAAAGGGCCAGGAAGAATTGGCAGATCCATCTATTATTATATATTAAATTTTTCACAAACAAGAAATAGGGAGTGAGAACAATTATTAAATAAATATAATTAATTAAATAAAGAACAAGATTATATATAATAACATAAAAATTAAATATTAAAATTTGAATCATTTAATAGTGACTAGTCAGGATAAATGAGCATTATTGTAGTATCAACCAAATGTCAACAGAATATTTTATCATGAAAGATTACTCATTTAAATCCCCAAGGTCAAACCTCCAGCTATAAATAAATTCAAATTTTATCTTCTATGGCCATAGAGCAATATTTATTTTTAAAACGAGTCAAAGACATTTTAACAAAATTATATTATAATTAATTATAAAAATAATAACGCTAAATAAATTTGAGAATTTATTATTAATTAAACTTTAATTAAATGACATATACGTAAATAAAATATATTAAGAGCACCAATTAATTAAATAACAATGTTAATTATTATAGAATAATTAAACAATATAAAATATGAACATATTAATAATTATTATGAATAACAATAAGCATAGAATAAGCAAATAAATGAGGTTAGGGGCACCTCACTAGATAAAAATAACAAAAATAAATAGACATAAAAGTATATCAAATTAAAGAGATAAAGTTCTCCTCCCCCTTACCTTGAAATGCACACTTATTGGAATTTTATTCTGCTGCGGTCTCCACTATTTTCTCTCGTTCTCTCTTCTCTCTTTTGTTACCAAGAGATAAAATTATAGATGAATGAGGCAGTGAAATTGAAGCCTATTTATAGATGAATAAAACTCACTAAGTTCATGAATTACGGATAGCATTCTTATCCCGTAATAATTTTATGTACTTGAATGCTTATCCCTGCTCACAATAAATTCTACACGTAGCTGCTTACGTATTTTTACTACCTGAATGCTTAGTTAGCTTTTTGCCACGTATTATGTATCTGCTTGCAACACACACACATATATATATATTATCCGTTATTGCCACGATATATAGATATCCGTTGTTGCTACTGTATATTTCCTGTTTTCTAATTCTAACAGGACCCAGTGCCTGTAGTACTTAAACATATTTAGTTAAACCACTGAACCATTTTATTTTGTATGTCTATAATATCACGCAAATTTATAATAAGCTATTTTTCGTAGATAATATTTATAATATAATTAGATAACATACATACACACACATATATATATATATAAAATTTAATAAAACGCTAGTATTTAATTATACTAAAATTTAAGAATTTGATTTAAAAATAATAAAATAATAAAATTAAGTGATTCTATTTTATTAGTAAAATCATGACAATTATATAATTAGGAATAAATATTTTAAAATTTTGTTTCACTAAACATGTTATAATAAAATTTGTGGATATATAGTGAAAATATTATACTTATTCCCTTATATATATATATATATATATTATCATAACTAAAATTTTCAATATACTTAATAAAAATGTTGAGAATATTATTATCTAAAAACATTAGGCTGTTACAATATACACATCACCATTACTATAAATTCTCATCATTAATTTATTCATCATATTTTATAACATTTATCATTATCATACATCATCATCATCAAACACCATCACACATTATAACATTATACGTTATCATTACTCATGTCAAATACAGTCACTTAAAGAATAACACAACTCACAAATTATCTCTTTTTATCTTGAGGTTTTATGACATTGTGATTCAAACACGATACCTACCTATGATATCAAGTTGATATTAATTTTATAAAAAAGCTAGGCTACTTATATTAATTTTACAAGAAAGCTAAGCTAATTATCTACAACTAAGTTGACCTCAAGAGTTGATTTTACCATCTATAATTTTTACAAAATACAAAATTGTTGCAATTTTACCTAATTTTGATAGCTTAACATTCACTCGTTAATTTAATCATAATTTGAGTTCCAAATCTCAATTTTGAGTAATTACAACGTCATTGAAAAGTTAACATCCAAGGATGTAACTCTTATAATACCATAAAACCTAATTTGGTCATCTAAGGGTTGTATGGCAAATAAGTTGCAAGTGTAAGTTTTTACACACAAAACATAAGGTTCATCTTGTAACTCACATAACTTGACTATTTCTGAATATTTTTACTAAGGCATGTTTACTTAACATCAATTAACACCAAATCATCCAATTCCCACAAAAATCCCAATTCATACAAATCTAGCCAATTATCATATACCCCTAACCCTAAGATATTCAACATTTTATAAAGTTTAATTAATACATGAATCACACAATCTCAATTAATTTCATCAAATACATTCAATTACAAATCCTAAATAGACTTAAGGAATTTACC